GGCGAAAACTTTCAAGGAACCATTGCAAAAGAGGCTCCCACCCACCACACCCACTTGCTGAGCCAAATGTTTCAGATATGACTCACTGACATACTGAGTGAAACACATGGCTGTGAAAAAGGTGCGCCCTCAAATTTGTTGTAAAACAAATTTGTTTTGTCAAATAAAACTCCATGCGCTATTCGCGCAGTGTTCGTCTTATTTGATCAAAAACGGACGCCTTATAAACTTCCGTATAAACTTCCATATAAATGTCATTCAATCATATTCAGAGAAACATGCAACGTAGCACTCGCTCTCTTCGTTTTCAAACGGGGATTCGCGAACTTGAAGTCTGTCATGCTGCATGTGCCCCGCCCCACTAGAGGCATGCAGCACACACTTCTTCGTGAGCATCTGTGATGCTAACTTGAACTCGACTTGACGTGTACTTGAGCTCCTCGCCTCGTGAGAGACAGTCAGAAGGATTTGAGCTCGATGGTACTCGCTCATACCATATCAAGCAATCCAAACTTTCCTCAGAATCACAAGCACAAGTGATCACCTGATGGCCATATACGCTTGCCGACTTGCACCGAACGAAAGCACCGTGGACGCCTTCATTATCGGTGAAGACCACGATGTTAGCACCTTTTAAGAAAGAAGCGAAGCTGCGCAATGCAAGCAGCACTGCTAACGCCTCCAACTCGAAGATGACAGTCTCATGAGTAGTATCTCCGTATGTACAGATGGCATCAAGGACATTAGTGGGAACTTCAATGCCAAACCATCCGAGGATGTGGCCTGACGAGTCGTACGCCATGCCACCGATTCCAGAGTAGCCGTCGTAGTCAAACGAAGCGTCCACATACACATGGACCACAGAACTCCAAGTAGCGGCGACCCGGCGTGGCCGCCCATGCTCAAACAAGTTCAGAAGCACTCGCATCGATTGTAACATTTGCTCTCTGCCAGCTAGCGGCTCATCAGTGAGAGCGCCCAGCGCATGCCGTGCCCGCCTCCCGAACAACTGTCCAAAAGCGAACTGAAGCCGCCCACGAAGCTTCGCAAGATCGGCACCTTTAGGCAGCGAAGTGGCGCCTGTCACGTATTCCGTCAAGACAGCTCGCAGCTCAGCAGCACGCTTCTCTGTATTAGAAAAATATGCTACACCGAACTTTGCCTCACGAAGATCAAGCGTCACACCCAGCACGTTGCACATGCTGTCGAAGCCCAGCTGTTTGTCCAGAGAAACGTTCCAGCCAAAAAGTCTGAAAAACATTGTAACAATCATGTCCAAATGCTTGCTTGCGCTTTCCCAACTGCTGGTAAGGAAGTCGTCAAAGTAGCAGCTCCAGATCAAGGATAAAAGGACACATCCGATCTTCCACAGACCATATGCGCAACGGATGAATCCAGTCACACTGGCCTTCGATCCAAAAGGCAGGACTCGCTGCTTGTACACCTTTGGCTTTTTGCTCCTTGGACAGAACACTGCAATGTAGCTGTCAAGCTCAAAAGCAGAATCACTCAGCGGCAGTTGTTTATAAGCCGTCTTAAGATCCCAAGCTTTGCTGACCATCTCTTTCTTCACTTTGGCCTTTACGCAAGCCTGAAGCCAATAGCTCAAAGTTCCAGCGATGACATCGACCGTGTGCACAGGAACCTGTTCGGTTTGAGATACCACGCTATTGACCTCCGAGCTTTTGTAGTTGTCGATTGGTCTCACTTTGGGATTGCCGTCAGAGTCAAGGCCTTGAATGACACCGAACCGATGCGTCAGTGTTGCACCCATTGGCAACTGCTCCGGATCCACCGGTCCTTCCAAGAAGCCAAGGTCGAGCTCCTTTTGCGTAGCTGCAAAGACTCCGTCATCTATGACAGGATCACCAGAACTTTGGACCATTGCAAGAACCGCAGCCCGAGACCTTGACGCCCCGGCTCGCAGCTCTTCCTCAGTCTTAAGTGCAGGACGATAGCGGTGGTCGAACACATGTGACTCCGGAAGCTTGCCCACCAGATCAAAGCCATTGCTCATGTCGTGCACCAAGTTATCATCTGCATGACCAGCCTCCTCGAGGATGGACTTGAAGAGCAACAGCCGCTTACCATCAAGGACTTTACGTCGATGCTCCGAAAAACCTTCGTGAAGCTCACGCTCGGCATCTACAAGGCCATTGGACATGCTGATGAACCGCCTCATAGTTGCAGTGCGCTCGCGTGCAATCTCGGCCTCACTTTTGCTCATGTTTGCCTTGATCGATGCCTTGAGCTCATCCGGAAGCAAGTTGTCCAAGTGGCAAGGATGCTTTGATTGAAGAGCCTGTTGCACGAAGTCCTGAGGATCATGATAAACCCCAAAGACAACCTTAGAAGAACTCCCGCGCCTCGAAGACAGCGCCTCAGGATCATTCGAACTTCCTGCATCCCCAGAAGGCCTAAGGGGGTCGGGAAGCCTAAACCCCAAACCTAAAAGGTAGGCTCGGTCGGCTGCAGATAGCCACTCCAAGTTCCGAGGCAGATATGCAAGCAATGCATGCCGGTGCCCCGTCCACCTTTGTGTCTCATGCCACTTGCGTGGGTCAAAGAAAACTGGGCCTGCACTCGGATCAAGAATTCTGCCACGGACGTCTCGCCCATTAATGTTCTTACAGACATCGCCCGAAGCATCCTCAACCCAGATACCGCCCCCCTCCCCGTCACAAGGCTTCAGCAAAACAACCATGTTCCATGACGAGGCCTCGTTGTGGCTGTCTCGATGAACAGCCGTGAAGATGTCGCGACTGTATGTGACCGCACCGAACTCAAGAGACGGCGCGATCTTTCGAACAAAGGCACACATCTGCTCAATGACTTGGGGATGAAGCTTTGTGGCCTGCAAGACTCCTGTGACACCGCCGTGCACAAAGGCTCCACCTTTCACACATGAAGATGAAGCGCAGGCCTCACCGCGACTGGGGAGCGTTCCCTTGATGTTGGATAAACACTCAAGAAGAGACTCGGCTGAAACTTCGACAACGGAATCGCACTCAGCACCACCCCGCGCAAAGTGAGTGCGAATGACCTTGCTTCCCAATGGAACAGAAGAGACCTCAGGCTTTGCAGAACATGACGATGGCACCGGCCACGGTGCCTGCAACTTGGATTTGGACACAGGCAACTTTGCCAAAGCGTCATACGGACCCTGCACAGAAATGACCTGACGAAACTCGGGGACCAGAGGCGGGACCCGTTTCTTTAATTGATGACCTGTCAAGCTTCGAGCGCCCACAACAGAAGGGGCTGCATCACTAAGTTTGCATGGCTCCGGGACCGCCCCGAAATGGCACATGAAATCATGAAGCAAATCAGCCATGTTTCGCCCCAAGGGCCAAGTCTCGTTCACATTATCAGGCTGGGCATGCGAATGCCAAGGCTCATGAGTATGCTTGTTGTCGCATCGACTTTCAAGAAAATCAAAAGGCACAACATTGGACATCAAGACAAAAGACTGCTTGCGGCATCCTCCATGCATGCACAAATCAAACTCAACTCTGCGGAGCGACGCAGAGGCCTCGGCTTTGACCCAAGTAGGGAGCTTCCAAAATGGGCTCCGCACCGGATTCATGACACTGAAGAGAATTCCCGATGAATCACATAACTTGCAAATGCGGCTTATGAAAAGGGCCAGCTGCTCCACAGCTGGCGAGGCTGAACGATCAGCGAAAAACATCTTGTGCGGAGGAGATACATGAACATAGACGACCATGGCCTCCTGAAGAATGCTCAGAACGTGACGTTGACCCGTCTCGGAAGTCAAGTCCACACGAATGGTGGGGCAGCCGGCATTAGACGACCTGACCTGTACACCAAAAGAATCTTTCGCGCCAAGCCTGCGCAAACCCGAAATGATGAACCCTCGATTGCAGAAAAGCTCCAGACCGAAGAGCTGCCTAACAGGTTTGCCCGCAACTCTCAACCTGAAGCGCTGCAGAAAATGCTGAGGGCTCGAGGCCCTCGACGGTGACCGTCACGAACGATGCTCCTGAAGCGAGTGTGCTTTGAGGCAGTTGGGCTCGGCGCAGAGATGCCAACCACGCTCACATTTCTCACCTGCTTTGGCCTTGTCACATCCCCCTGGGAGGTTAAACGCCCAGCAGAGACGCTCGCCTTCTCGCGTTTGGTACCATTTGCCAATCAAAAGCTTGGGCACACGCAACTTATCATTCTTGCCTTTGCCTCCGCCTTTGTTGCCACCGCCCTTAAGGTTTTGACGGCCTTGACCAGGATTTCCCTGGTCCGCATTCTCATGCTGCCGCTTTGTTCCCCTGTTGTCAAGGACATTCCATTGCTTAGGGGGCTTCTCAACCTCAGGCAATGCAAGCGGAAGGAGGTGAAAAGATACGGCTGGATCTGACAAAACATGAGGCAGCACAGCATCTAACGGAATGGATCCGTCCGCCTGGCGCTTGATCGTTCTAAGCTGTTCTGCCAAGTGGAAGAACGCAGCACGATCAGTTCTCAAGACTTGATGCACAGACACTTTAGCGTACTTAGGCGGGGGCAAGTCCTGCATGCGTTGCACAAGGGCCCCATGATAGCGATTCATAGTATCATAGGTGCAAACACCAACCAGATCAAAAGCCAGTGCCCTACGGCGTAGAGCCTGAACCAGCTCAAGCTCCCCCGATGTTGCACACGTCAAGGAAGTCTGCTTCTCCTTGATGTTCAAAGCCCCGCTCCCATCAAGCACAACCTGTTTGTTGGGCTTCTGCGAAGAGAGCTCCTGGCGTCTCGTTGTAAACTTCTCCGGATGGATGTAAACAAGCGCATCTCTCTGCAACATCGCGTAGACGAGGTTGTATGACTCGTAGGAAGGCTCTTCTACTCCAGAGTGCATCAATCCAGTAATCCGTGCCTTCTGTCGAGCCATTCGACTCTCACGCTCAGCGTGACTCATGCTACCAACTGAAGCATCTTCTCCTTTTTCAACTCGACCCTTCAAATCGGCAATGAGCAGAGTATGAGCCTCGAAGATCAACCTCCTCGTAGAAGCGACCGTCCCTGCAGTTGTTGGGGCTCCTCCGAAGAGGTCCTGAACTTGGGCGTCACTTGGATTCTGTCCTGGCCCAACGGCAGCAAATGCTATGCGAGCCAGCGTGTCAATACCTCGCCCTGTCAATGCAGTGACTTCAGCATTTGTAAGGCCAACTTCGGCCGCACGGGCTGCAAAGGCCGCCCTAGACTCTGTAAGCGAAGCCATCGCACCAGGTTGGACTTAGAATCTCCGGCCACCTGCCGACTACCAGCACTTGCCACAGCCTCCGGCCACCTGCCGCTGCAGTCTTTCTGTCCGACTGTTGAAATTCAGAACAGCATCACGTATTCCACTTGAATGAAATTCACATACTTGAGCTGCGCACTTCAGCAGGCACCACAATTGACACAAACTTGGAAGCACACAAAAGACTTCAGATTCATGTGCACTTGTAACACCTCCAGCTCTCTGTCAAGAATCGGACCTCAGCTCCACTTTGCCCACGCTTGTGCGTATGGTCCTCAGTCTTGAACGCGCGCCTCCAGCGCACGCAGCAAACTGCCCGTGTCTCTAAGGGGCTTCCCGGCTGCACACTGTTTACATGTCCGCAAATCTCTGAAGGCCGATGCTTCTATCAGCTCATATTCCTGAGTGACCTTTCGGCCACAAACAAAAACCTCGGAAGAACTGCCAGCGCTGCGATGGTGAATCGTGAAGCTTTTCTTGTGCCTGTACATAGACACTTCTGGGCTCCAGCTCTCACTCGCCTTTGCGGCCTGACACTTGAAGCCCTCTCCTCGAGTCCAGCTGTCATCCTCGAACTCCGACGCGGTCTCGCTCGAACTCGATGAAGACGATGATTCATCGCCGCCATCTTTGGCCTGGGGTTCCTCCAAGCTAACTCTGCCAGTTTCGCCCTGGGATTGGTTTGGACTGTCAGGGCAAGATCGACCTTCTCGCTCAGGCTCAGGAGTTTCGTTGATCAAAGAAAACGAGTTTCCTAGCTCATCTGAAGCAACTGCACTCTCTCCCGGCGACACATCTCGAGGCAGCGCCTCCTCAGAAAGTGCGCCCTCCCCCTGGGGCGCAAACGCAAGCCTGGCTTTATGAAGCATGGAATCTACCTCATCTTGGCTCACCTGGGAAGACTGGGACTGCTTGAAATGACCTGAGCGACTGACATCGGGCATAAAAATTCCATGACGTACTGCTTCAATCACCGTGATGTACTGACGTAAAGCTGGTGCTAAGAAATCTCTGCCGTAAGTGTTCAGAGTGCCATCACCAGTTGAATGATGTCCCAACTGCAACCGCGGATGTCTATCCATTCCGAACTTGCTGCACCAAGAAAGCGTGGTAGATTTCAGGGAGTGCGACGTGGCCTCGCTGTTGCTTCCGCTACCCTTAAGAAGCGCCTGCAGCCAGCGTGTCATTTCCCCGGAAGTTACAGCCCTTTTGCTCCATGCCCCTGCCTCAGTGGGAGCAGGAAGAAGCGGTCCTTTAGCTCGGCCTTCAAGCGCAAGCCCAACCGCCTTTGCAACCTCAATGAACTTCAAGCCCCAGCTAACATTTCGGACTCCCATGATGGGAGCAATAAGCGGCATAGCCAAGCCTTGCTGTGCCACTAGCCGACTGCACTTGTGGGACCTGGTCTTGCACTCTATGAATCCAACCTGATTGCCGTCCACGTTTGCGATGTCCAAAATGAAGCCCTCAACCACGCGCAAGTCAGAGCACCTACTCCTAGAGTAAACCGCAAACAAGATGGCTCCTGCAGCATATCTGTCCATAAGGTCTCGCGACTCATCGTCGAGAACCATCTCTAAGTAGGTGACTTCCCCAACTGTGAGTACATCAGATTGATTGCGCTCGGCCCGCTCCAGGTCCTTTAGTCCAAGAAGACCAGCAGCCCAAGGGCTCCACAAGCTTCGGCAGGAAACATGTATTTCAATACCTACCACAAAATGAGAAAAGTTTATGGCCTCTCGGAAGCTATGCATGGCTGAGATCTTGGCATGGTTCTCTTGCAACCACTCCAAATACTCGTCGAGCATCCAAGTCTTCAAAGGAAAAACTTCTTCTCCAGGAGCTACCTTATGCCATCGACATACGTATCCCAGCATGCTGTTTCCCCGTCTCTCGACAGTTGCCACACTCTTTTTCCCAAAGAGCTCTCTGATGCGCTTGGTGCCTTCATCAGCAGGCAGCTTTGATACTTTAACTCCAATCATGGAGCTGGACCAATTCTCTCCAAGGATGGTGTACCACTTCTCAAGCGCACGCGCCCACTTATTTTGCTCCAGCGTCTCGTCATCGAGAGCTTGCTTGAAATTGATGACTCGTCTGAAAGTTTCAACGCCACACGGCTCAAGCTTTAGCCTCTTTGCAGGACGTGCCAATTTCTCGGCAGCATCTTGTGAAGCCCCTGGGGCCACCACCGGAAAAGGAATTTCGGGGACTGCGAAATCAACGACTTTCTGTTCACCAAAAATCAAAGCAAAGCCTCCACTCTCCCAAGGAAGCTTCAATCCTGATCCATGCTCTCCGCTGATCATAGCAGCTTCCCCGATAGCAGCATGCAACCTTGACCGCTCTTCGTCAGAGATGGTGCTCCCCTCGGGAGCGCTGCTTTGTGACTGATCTGCAATCCTCTCATCAAGGCTAGCAGGAAGAGGAAGGCTTGTTCCCAGGGACTCACCATCAATGCCTTTATCGGACATATAAGCACAAGAGCAGGAGACACCCCCCGCGGCGAAAACTTTCAAGGAACCATTGC